GTGGAAATGAATGTTGAAAACTAAAAATAAATTAATTATTTTAAAAAATCTTATTAGACCCAAAAAAAAAAAAAACCATAAATAAATAAATAAATAAATGAAAAATAACCTATCTGGTACTGGCTAAGAAACAGAAGAGTGGATTGCTGGAATAAATTAGATATAGAAGACACAGTAGTCGATGACAATAGTAACATACTGTTTGATAAACCCAAAGAGCCCAGCTTTTGGAATAAGAACTCACTATTTGACAAAAACTACTGAGAAAACTGGAAAACATAAGGACACAAACTAGGTATAGACCAACATCTCACATCATGTACCAAGATAAGGTCAAAATGGGTACATGATTTAGACATAAAGGGAGACACCATAAGCAAATTAGAAGAGCAAGGAAGAGTCTACCTGTCAGATCTATGGTGAGGGGAAGAATTCATGACCAAACAAGAAATAGAGAGTGCTATGAAATATAAAATAGATAATTTTGATTATATTGAATTAAAACGTTTTTGTACAAATAAAACCGATGCAACCAATATTAGAGGGAAAGCAGAAAGCTGGGAAACAATCTTTACAGCAAGCTTCTCTAATAAAGGCCTCATTTCTCAAATACATAGAGAACTGAGTCAAATTTATAAGAATACAAGCCATTCCCCAATTAATAAATAGTCAAAGGAAATGAACAGGCAGTTTTCAGATGAAGAAATCAAAGTTATCTATAAGCACATGAAGAAGTACTCTAAATCACTTTTGATTAGAGAAATACAAATTAAAACAACTCTGAGTATCAACTCACACCTATCAGATTGGCTAATATGACAAAAAAGGAAAATGACAAATATTGGAGAGGATTTGGGAAAACTGGAATAATAATGCATTGCTGGTGGAGTTGTGAACTAATCCAGCCATTCTGAAGAGCAACTTGGAACTATGCTTAAAGGGCAACCAAACTGTGCATACCCTTTGACCCAGCAATACCACTTCTAGGTCTGTTTTCCAAAGAGATCATAAAAAAAGGAAAAAAGACCTATATGGGCAAAAATATTTATAGCTGCCCTTTTCATGGTAGCAAAACATTGGAAAATGAGGGGACACCCATCAATTCAGGAATAGCTGAACAAGCTATGGTATACAAATGCAATGGAATACTATTTGCAATAAGAAATGATGAATAGGCAGATTTCAGAAAGACTTGTATGAACTGATACAAAGCGAAATGAGCAGAACCAGGAAAACTTTGTACAATGTATCAGCAGCACTGTGTGACAATCAACTATGAATGACTAAGCCCTTCTAAGCAACACAATGATCTAAGACAAGTACAAAGAACTAATGAAGGAAAATGCTATCCACATACAGATAAAGAACTGGTGGATTCCCAATGAAGATCAAAGCATATTTTTCTCACTTGCTTTATTCTTTTTCATGTTTTTTTTTCCCTTTTGATCTGTTTCTTCTTTCACACCCGTGACTAACATGGAAATGTTTTACGTGATAGCACATGTATAACCTATATCAAATTTCCTACCATTTTCAGAATAGGGGAGAAGAGGAAGGGACAGAGAAAAATTTGGGAACTCAAAACTCAAAATCTTGTAAAAATGAATGCTAAAAATTGTCTTGATATGTAATTGGGGAAAAAAATACTATTAAAAAAAGAAAAAAGAAAATGAGTGACAGATTAAATAAGAAAGCAAAACCCCACAACATGTTGCTTACAAGAAACACATTTTAAAAACAAAGACATAAATAAAATAAAACCGAAAGGATGGAAAAAATTTATTATGTATTGAGAAAATCGGAAAAAGCAGGAGTTGCAATCATTTTGCCTGAAAAAAAGAAAAACAATCCAAAAATAAAATGGAATAAACAAGAAAACTACATAATGCTGAAAGTAACTACAGACAACAAAGCAATATATTAGTAATACACTCATATACTCCAAATGCCTTAATATTCAAATTCATAAAGGAAACATTAATTAGAGCTACAAGAGAAAATAGAGAGTAACACGACAGTGATAGGAGACTTCAATATTTGTCTCTGAGTTCTGGATAAATCTAACAGAAAGATGAACAAAAGAGAATATATGGAAATAAATAAACATCTTGAAAAAATTAGAGCTAAAAGCCTTATGGCATGCAATTTGGAATTATGCAAATAAAATTACTAAAATGTCCATACCCTTTAAACCAAAGATTCCATTACTGGGATTACACCCCAAGGAAGCTATCAATAAGAAAGCCCCCATATGCACCAAAATATTTATAGTAGCATTTTTTTCTGAAAGCAAAGAATTAGAAACAAAGTAGATGCTCATAGATTGGATTTTAAAAATTGTGGAACAAGAATGCAACAGAATATTACCATGTTACAAGAAATGACATATGTGATGAAAACAGAGAAGTATGTAAAGATCTACATAAACTGGTGCAGAGTAAAGTAAACAAAGCCAAGAAAACAAAATACATAATAACTGTAATAACGTAAATAGGAAAAAACCACTAAAAAAATCAAAAGTGAATGTAGTAACAAAATTATAATGATCAAGCACAATTCTGGGCCATATGAGCAAACAGACAAAGAACTAGACATTTTCCTTGATCCCCACATTTGATCTCAAACTTCTCCAAATCTGAAATTATACGCTTAAGATAAAGCAACTTCAGCTTTCTCCATGGTCTAGGATGCCTAGGAAAAAAAAAGACCGAAACCTGCAACCTATGAATTGATTCTCACTCAATACAGGCACAGAAGAACCTTTTAAAAAAACCATTAAAAATCATCTATCTAAAACCACAAGCAAGTATCTTGTGTAATAGGTATACAAGAAGCTTTACTAACAAATACAGGAATAAAGCAAGGATGCTCACTTTCCCCACTATTATTAGATATAATTCTAGAAATGCTAGCAATAATAAAACAAAAACCAAAAAAATCTAAATATAAATAAAGAGGTGATAAAACAATCCCTGTTTGCTGATATGATGGTTTACTGGGAAAGTCCTAAGGAATCAGCAAAGACACTAATTGAAACAATTAATAGCTTCAGTAAAGTTGCAGGCTACAAAATAAATCTTTAAAAAAAGATCAAGTATGACCTGAATGAAGAAATATGAGATATCACCCCCAACCCACCCATTCCTAGAGGTGGGAGGTACACAGATGCTACACATTGCACACATTTTCTAAATTTTTAAATGTATCAACAATTGTGCTGATTTTTTTTCTCTTTAAAAAAGTACTCTTTGTTATTATATTGGACAGCTCTCTGGGAGAGAAAGGAAGACAGATACTTGGGGTAACTATGATAAATGTAAAAAACTGAAGACACCAATATAATTTTTTTTTAAATCTGTAACTGGGGAAGGAAAAAGTTAGGTCCAAATCACAGCTCTGCTACTTACTAGCTCTGTGACCTTGGGTAAGATCACTTACTCTCACTGTTTCCCCATCACATTAGATCGGAGATTTTTAACCTTTTTCATGACTTAGGCACAAAAAGTCACCTTTTCAGCAATCTGGTGAAGCCTATGGACCCTTTCCCTAATACAGTTTTTAAATGCATAATTTAAATTGAGTTATATTAAAATAGTTATCTAAAAAATTGTTTTAAGTTTTTGAGTTATCTAAAAAATTGTTTTAAGTTTTTGACCTCAAGTCAAGAATCCCTAAAATAATAGAATCCTGTCTAAAGTCTTTTCTAGCATTAAAATCATAGTTAAGTGATAAATTGTGTGATATTAACAAATTTCAAAAAAGTTCAGAGAGGAGAGGAAACAATAAAAGCTAGAGTGGTCAGGGAAGCATCACAGAGATGGAGTTAAAAGTTGAAAACTGGTGAATGAGTAAGATTTGCATGTGCAGAAGATAAAAGAAAGAATATTCAAACATAACCATAGGGACAAAGATGGTATATTTATTTAACAATAAGATAGTGGTCTAACTACAGTTTGGCACATATTAGGGGATAGTGAGACCTTTAAAGATCAGGCATTGACATAGAAACAAAAGATTAACGTTAATGAGCAGCACAATGATATTATAAAAGCTGCTTTAAAGAAGAATGATCTAACAATTGTTCCAGACAGACTGGAATGGTACAGCTTGGACCCTGGTAAGCCAGGTAGGAAGGTGTTACAGTGAAACAGGAATGAAGCATGAGAAGCTGGACTAGAGTAAGAACAGTTGCATGTAAAGCCATAATTAGCAAGGTGACAACTGGGGATTTGCCCCAAACTGCCATATTTAGAAGGCTCTGACAGAACAGCACAGAAACAAAAGAATTAGAAAAAAAAATAGTTAAAAGAGAAAGCTACTAGGTGGCTTGATAATATGAGCTGCCCACCCTCAAGGTAGCTTCTCCATTACCAGCTTTGAAGCTATATCTTAGAATCTCTATTTTCTTCCCATGGAGTTTGTACTGCCTTCTCTCCATCCTCAAAGTGTGTGCTTGCCTGTCTAAGACCCAAAATTTCCTAGCTACAGCTTTGAATATAGAAGACATGATGGGATACTTGGGAGATTCCATAAGAAATAACAAGTGACTTGGCAATGGACTCAATAGCAAGATAAACAAAAAGACAGCTTAGGCTTTAGGCAGGGTTAAAGTAGAAGAAAGTTGTGTGCAATAATAAGGATCAAGCAGTTGAAAGCTGAAGTTCTGGAAAGAAGACAAATTCAATTTTGAACATATAAAGTTTGCTGTAGATAGTAAGGCAGCCAAGGGAGCATATTTCTATGCCAACAAAGTAGATTCTGTAAGTATATGAGCTCCCCATGCTTTGCCAAGGAATTCCCTGAGGAATTTCCTTTGAGAAAACAAGTAATTTAAAATTTAAAATTAAGATAAAATTTTTAAGTCATCACTTCTTTCCAATCTTCGTTCCTATACTTTGAGATGTATGATAAAATGGAAAACAATATTTTAATTTATCCACACACAGTAAACAAGTGACTTCCAAAAAAAGTTAACATTCCATAGAATCTTCATATCTTACCTCCCCAAAAGCTCCTCTACCAATCACCTTTAATATTTCAAAGTCTTCTTTATGTAATCGCATCTGTTTCACTTTAGAAGTGAATGGTTTAGCTGTAAGAAAAGAACATCATCTATTACTTTTCAAAAGAAGATGAAAAACTATACAGAAAGTATAAATTTTTACACAATCATATTACTTGCTAAAAGTTCAAACAATTATTAGTAGACCCTAAAAAATTCTCATTAAAATTTAAAGAGGAAATAATTTTAATAACCAAAACCAAAGTTTGTTTTTTTATTCAGTTACGTCATTTGGGGAAAATATAAAGTCATGCATCTTAAAATGCTTTCAAATATCTCTGCAGCTCAATGTAGCTATGCAATAAAATTATAAATGTATTTCCATGTTAAAAGTACACATTTCAACTTTAATATATTTCTTGTGTTAGTCCTAGAAAGAGAAACAAGATTTCTAAAACTAGTTCAAACAGATGAAGCAATTTCAACTATTTCATCAGAATTTTAAATGATAAAATATATTGTATCACTATTAGTAACATGATAAAAATGTTTTTAGTTATTCTATTAGCACAGAAAACATACATTAGTAATTAAAGACAAACAACAAGAGAAAAAGGAATGAACCAAATAATATAAAATATGAGGCTAATATCTGGAATAAAAAAATCATGGTGGCACTTTTAATACTCTTTAAAATTTCTGTGACATTTAATTACTTTCTGTGAGGTAAGTTAATAAGTTTCAAGTATAGAAAGAAATCTAACATTAAAAATTTTTATTCCATATTTCAGTTTATTCCTATTAACAGCCAAGAAACCAAAAAAACAATTTTAAAACCCAGAGGTTTCACATATGATTAACTCCTACTCAACAATCAGTATTAAGGCAATAAACTGATTGGATTTTTAAAAATCTATTTACTTTATTATAAGGTTTAATTCTATTATAAAAATGCCATTCTCCTGATAACTAATTATAATCAGACAAATTCCAAGTCTGTCAGGTTCTTACAGTTGTAGCTTCCAATAGCAAACATTTTTAATTTCCAAAAACTCCTTAAACTGAGAAGCTCAAGCTAGATTTGTGGCTGACAATGCCACATTTTAAAACCAGAGATTCAGGTAAACTGTACTTTAAAAGTGTTTTTTTAACATTATATGATAATGGAATTTAGTTGTCAAGTTATACATTTATCTCAGACTTTTCTGAATTGGGGGACAGGGGGTTGATGTTGAGGGGATTTCAGGTATAGAACTGGAGAGAAGGAGCTGAGGACAAGATGGCTGGAATTTTCTTGGTAAAGAAGGTAGAGAGAAGAAGGAGCTGAGGACAGATGGCTAGAATTTTCTTGGTAAAGAAGGTAGAGAGAAGAAGGAGCTGAGGACAGATGGCTGAAATTTTCTCAGTAAAGAAGGTAGATAGTCAGCTGGAAGCAAAGAAGCATCTTAACTAGAGAAGAAAGAAGAAAAGATTTGGAACAGACGCTGTGGCAATAGAGAGTCAAAATCAGGGAAGAGGGAAAGGATTTGTGAGCCCAGTGAGAGCCCAGATGGGATAACAAATTTATAGAGGATCCTAGTCAACAAAATCATGTGACTTCTTCCAGTGATATTCAGTAACACCTGAGTAGAAGTGGAGAAGGTAGATGATAGGAGCAAGCTAGGGCTGAGGTTTGGAAGGGATGAATGATGAAAAGACAAGGAGGCAGGGAATTGGGCATAAAATTAAACTGATTAACTATAGGGTCAAGATCATAAAGAAAGGCCACACAGGAGGGATGATGGTGACATGCTAGCAAAGCAGGGAAGGGTTAGTAGGACAGGATATCACAACAAGGACAAAGAACCGGTTTAGGGGAGTAAGGTACAAAAAGAGAAGGGAGAATAAGAGAATATACAAATAGTCTGAGAGAAGAACTACAGAGTTGGGGATGAGGGGAGAGTGATGAGATCAAGGCTATGTGAAGTAGACTAAAAGTGCAGATCAGAAGAGATGAAGTGGCTAACGGCAGGGGAAGGGAAATTTTACCTAGGCAGCCTATGATACATGAGAGGAGGGATATGATTCGAGCCCTCCACACCTCCACTAAGTTTATAGAGTCACAAAAAAAAAAAAACCAGAATGTAATTTTAAAAAAAAGTACTAATTAGCTGTTAAGCTGACTGTATAAATATGTCTATACCCTGACCCCCTTATCCTGTGCAAACACCTCTCCAATTGAGTTAAGTAGGAGATACCAACAATGGCTGACAAATTAGCCACCCTCCAGAAAGCTTTAAATAGTTGAACCATGAGAAGCCCCACAGAATCAAGGCTTAGAGTTGTCTATGGAATATAAGGGGGTGAGGAATCACCAACTGCCTTCCCCACATCCTGGGTTGTCAGTTTAAGAAACATGGCTCCGGCTCTACTTTTAGCTATCTTCAGTGACAATCAGCGCTTCTGCCTGTTGCTGACAATGAACTTGAGTTTGTTGACCTACTGCTAAACAATGTCAGCTGGACAAATTCTCCCATACTAAGTATTCCAATCACCACCTGTGTGAATTCACAAAGAAACTTTCTTCTCTAAGTTCAGATATTTTAAGTTCTCCAAAAAAGATATTGCAAACAAATTGCTTATGATAAACTAAAATCTGAAGTTGAAATTTGTTATTTTCTATGGATGGAAGGCTGCTATGAATGAAAATGAGCATTTATTATAATACAATCATAGTATCTTCAAGTTTATAGAATCATAGACCTAAAGTAGAGCTGAAAAGGAACTATGAGACAAATCTAATCCAACTCCTTCATTTTAGAGATACAGAAATCTGAAAGGGAATTCAGAAACAACATAGTCTTAACCTGTACCTGAAAAAATTATCCCTTCCATAATACTGCTGACAAGTGATCATCCAAGGAAACCTGCTAAAATGGAAAAGTAGGAGGAAACAGTACAGTCCAGCTTTCTCAGACAACTACTCTCCTCCCAAAAAAGGTCTAGGAAGAGTACTAGACCAAGTGGGAAATCAAATGAGAAAACACGGTGAGCCACTATTCCAGCCCAAGATAGTGAAGTCTGCCCACAAGCAGGTGGCTAAGGTAGAAAATCTGAGACAGAGGTGGGTCTGCAACTCTATGGCTCTCATCCCAAAGGAGGATCAAAGGCCTGAAATGGTCATGGATCTAGAGCTCTGTTGCTCTGACAACAGAATGGGATCAGTCTCAGGACAGAGGTGAGTGATTTATAGTATTTGTTGTGGACTGGGGGATGGGGTAAGAATGAAGGTGCCTACAGCTCTTCTGCAAAACCTTCCTTGCTAGCTGACAGGGACTAAAAACTGTCTAAGGAAGTTCCCTATCCAAGGGCAAGCCTATTGTTGTGGTGCTGAGATCCAAATTGGGAACCAACCCTACTAAGCTCAGACTAGAAAGGAAGTGATTTTGGACATAATGAAATTTTGCAAATTCCCACCCTGAGCTTTTCCTGAGATTCTTAAAGAACAGAGCATTCAATACCCAAAGAATTTAATAGCAGGAGCACACAAGGCTTTAATAAGCCAAAATTGCCCAGAGTCCTGCCCTAAAACCCCAATTTAGAAAAATGAATAAATTTTAAAAACAATGAAAAAGAGCTATTAAATAAGGATGACCAAAAGCAAAACCCAGAAGAAAAGAATAATTCTATAAGTATTTAAGAAAAAAACCTCAATGAAAAATGCAGCTTAGTCACAAATTCAACAAAAATTTCTTGAAGAAATGAAGTTATGGTTTAAGAGTTCAAATTATATCATAAATGAAATGAGAATTTTAGAGCCAAGAATTTGAAAAGAAATTGGAACTATAGAAGGATTTGGAAGAATTAACAGTTTAGTATAAGATGTACAAAAGCTTAAGCAAGTAACAGACTTCCTAAAAATTAGAATATACTGAATGGAAATTCATGACTCCACGAAACTAAAAGAAAATTTAAAAACAAAGTCAAAAGACTGAAAAAAATAAAGAAAATGCAAAGAGTTTCATCTCTAAAACAAATGACCTGGAATAGAGAGCAAGGAGAGATAATTTTAGAATCACAGGGTTACCTTAAAGCCATTACCCTAAAAAGGCTCAAGAAATCATGAAAAAAAATGTGCAAAAATATTAAAAGAAGAGAGCAAAATGAAAATAGAATCCACTGGTCATCACCTTTAAGAAGCCCCAAAATGAAAATTCCCCTCAAACATAATAACCAAAATCCAGAGCATCTAGGTCAAAGAAAAAAGGTGCCAGAGAGAAAAAATTAAAGTACCAAAGGGCAATACAGTCAGGATCATACAAGATAAAAGGAGTGGAGAGACTGGAATACAATAATCTAAAAGGTAAAAAGATATAGGCTTACAATCAAGGATAATTCACCCAGCAAAACTAAGCATAATCCCATGGATGATTAGAGGGGAATGAATGTTCAATGAAATACAAGGCTTGCAAGCATACCCCAGGAAAAGGGCAGAATTGAACAGAAAAGTTTGAAATAAAAAGGAATTTAAAGAAACATAAAAAGGTAAATACAATTATGAAATGATTACATTCTCATAGGTGGTGATAAAAGTGTCCACAGGGGATGATAATGTTATTAGAGGTTATAGAGGAAGTTAAGTAAGACTGAGGGTCTGGAGGGGCAGCTAGGTGGCGCAGTAAATAGAGCACAGGCCCTAGAGTCATGTGAACCAACTCCAGCCTCAAACACATCATTCTTCTTAGCTGTGTAACTCTGGGCAAGTCACTTAACACCAATTGCCTCAAGACTGAAGATCTGGGAATGGTTTTGTTATATTTTGGTGTTCTTAAAAGGAGGGAAAAAATAATACACTAGGGACTGAAGTGGGATAAAGAGTAAAGGAACATAATATCTCAAATAATCACAGTGCACAAGTAGATTATACAAACAAGGAGGAAGGGGTGCTGAGAAGCAGTTACCACATGAACCTCACACTCTGAGGTTCTGCCAAAGGATGGCAGATTATACACAGAGAAATTGGTATTGATCTCATCAGCTCCTATGGATTCAGTTATCATCTCTATGCTAATGCTTCTCAAATCTGCTTTCTTCAGCCCTAACCTCACTGC